GAGACTGTGTCTCAAAAAAAAAAAAAAAAAAAAAAAAACTTATTTGGAGATGGCTGGGAGAGATGATAGGTATAGAAAATGAAAAGTGGGAAGCTACAAATAGTAATTTTACCTGTAAGTTAACGTCAGGGTGTTTTATTTGTTTTTGTTTACATCAGGGTGTTTTGTTTGTATGAATTTATGTTCCTGGATATCTTGCTGAAAGAGTGCCTGTTAGTGTAAAAGCAGAACCAAGGTTAATAGCACAAGGTAAAAAATGGAGATGGACAGTGTATCCAGGAAAGAGTAAGGGAGAAAAATTGATGTTAGTGAGGCCCTGTAGAAGCTCTTCTGTGGAATATATTGATTTGGAATGTAGATGTTGCCCATAGAATTGGAAGGGGCACATTTACCAGGAGATGGAGTGAAAAAGAAGCCTGAATTGGCAGATTAACAGATTACTAACTGCATATTGTAAAGTGGTTTGTAAACCACCGGTAGAGGAAAGCCCTCATCGACAGTGGTCCGAACAAGAATTACTCTATGGACGTATGTATGAGTTATTCTTGCAGATCTTTTGCCAGTTCTCTAGAAATGGTGCACATGCTGGCTGTTGAGATGAAGTGGATAAAGCTGTCTGGTATTACACTTTTTAGGTATTAAAAAAGCAACTACTTTTTCAGTGAATATTTTGTAATAGAAGTTGAGTTGGCAAGGGTAAGTGAAGTCAATATGTATCTTTCTATTCGTTGTGCTCAGAGGGAGGAAATTTTTGCCTGTGTACCTAGCTCTTAAAATACAGTCATTCAAAAAGATGCAGGTAAAGAATCAGTAAACCAGGGTTCCAAACTTTCAGTCTAACATACAATAATGAGTCAAACAGCAGAGATGCGAATGTCTCAGAACTGAAATGCTCATTGGTAGCAGAACACTGATAAATAGATGTTGATAGAGATTGTGAACAAATCCGTTTCTAAAGTTGACCAGATTTGTAGGAGACAGGAAATGTCCTCCAATGGGAGGAACTTCCCCCACCCCCAATCGTCACCTTTAATTTCTTTTTACTTGCAACATGGAAAATACAACACTCTCTAAAACCTATTCGTCTTCGCATATAGCTAGCCTCTTTTCCTACCCTCAGAAAACCTTTGGAAAAGGAAAGACATCGGTTGTGAATCCAATTGCCGTGTGTTTGGTTTTTGTTTTTACTACTGTGCTGCTTCAGTGAGATTTTCAAGTTGTAACATAGCCCCGTTGGGCTTTATATGATAGAAAGAGGGAAAGTTATAAAAATAGGCACCGTTTAGAAGGTGGAAGAAGCTTAAAGGCCCCAAACTTTGTCGTATTAATTGATGCTGTAAGCGCTTAGGTAAGCAAAAGACAAAGGCCAGGGCTTGGTGTGAACTGCCTGGTGGCTTCGGCCTAGGAGTGGGGGATGGGGCTCTTTGTGAAGTCGAGGGTCGGTGCGGAGGGAGTAAACTGCGGGCAGCGTCTGTGTCCAGAGCAGCAGAGAGCGGACCATGGAGAAGGAAGGGGGCAGGCCCGCGGGAAGTTAGAGGACGCCCGGGTTAAAGCAGGTCCGAAAGGTGGGCCGAGAGTCCGAGCCAGCGAGCGTGCGGGGCGGGCGAAGGCAGGGGTTAGTGCACCTGTGCGGGCCGCCGGGCCCGGCGCACTAGAGAGAGGGAGGGCAGGCGGGCGGGGGAGTTAGCGCCCGGGCGGCCTCGGGGCCTAGGTTCCCGGGCGCCGGGGGAGGCGAGCTGGCGAGCCCCGGTGCTGTCACCCCATTCCCCTCCCCCGCCACTTCACCCGCGCTGCACGAGCCGTCGGGCGCGCGCGGGAGGGGGCCGGGAGACGCGGGCGCCCCGCGACGGCCGGCAGGTCAGTCGGGCCCGAGGGGGCCTCGTGGGGAGCGGCCATGTTGGCTTCCTCTCCGAGGACTGGGGCGGCCGTGGGGGACAGGTGTTGGGCGGCTCCAGGGACCCCCGGCCTGCGGGGGCGCCCTACCGGGCGTGGGCGTGAGGGCATCTGAGGGTGCAAGGGGCACGGCTTGGCGGGCCTCGAGGGGCAGGAGGAGGCTGGAGACTCGCGTCCTTCTCACCTACCGATGGCTATGATCTCCGTCCTGCGGAGAGGAGGTGCAGGGGAAAGATTCAGGGAACTAGTCCGCAAGTGAGAAACTTTAAACTCATTTCCCAAGTGGAAAACACCGAGAAATAGAACTGCCTTCGTGTGCCAGGCAAGATTGGAGCCCAAATGTTGTAGATGATAACATGAGGTTCTGGACCACTGCCACACTGCCTCTGAAAAAAGTTTTTTCCTAAACTAGGGACCTGAAGCTTTTGATGTGTCGTTTCCTCTTTCCTCAGTAGAATCCGGTTATCACTGTAAGGTTTATATGCCAGACGAAAATGTTACTGGTGGGAGCTTCCAACACCTTAATATTTCTTGTGTTTGTCTCTCTCCCCTATTTCCCTGACTCCAGGATTCAGAAGGAACTGGCAGACATCACTTTAGACCCTCCACCTAATTGCAGGTGAGATGCTTTCAAATTTTTTTCTTTTTAAAATTCTAACCTTTATTTTGGAGTTTTCTTTTTATTATCTTATACTTTTGCCTTTATTCTTTAGTTAATGCTCATTACAGTGCTAACATAAGTAACAGCTGAAATATATTAACCTGAGTGTAATACTTTGATGAGCCTCTGACAAGCTCAGTACTGTGTTGAGAAGTAATAAATTTGGAGTGGACTTTTGCATATATGAAACAAAATTGTAAAGTAAATTTAAAGGTGTATCCTTGCATAATCATGGATCTTTGATACGGCATTAAGGATGATGTAAAACTTTTTAGATGCTATGTGCATTTTGGTGTAGAAAACTGCTTTGCTATAATCTTTTATTCAAGCTCTGCTAAGCTAATAAAGCACAGAATTAAATCAAATACTGGATCTTCAGGCTTATTCTGTAGTATATAAATTTCGTATTGGACTTTTGGCAGAACAATTCAGGAAACCATTTGGCTTTGATAAAGTTTCGTTTTAAATTACAGATTTAAGCTCTTCCATAAGGGTGTTTATCCTTAGCATTGCTTTATTCAGACTATATACATAACTGTTTCAGTTTCAGAACAATTTGAAACCAACTTTCTGGGGTTTGTTGATCACAATTTTATTTAGAATAGCCATTTTGCTACTGTTGGGTCAAAGTGGAAGATGTGATGACTTTACTAAATCAATAGTGAGGTGAGGAGTTATAGTAGAGCCGTTATTTAAGGGAGGTTTATTGTTCAGTTCTATAACTCCCATAGTTTAAAAATTAAGTATAACGTTAATCCTAATTCTCAAGATTGGCATTGGAATGGGATGTAAGATTTCAGAAGTGTTCTAAAATTATTGGTAGAAGTAGAAGTTAATGACAAGAAGACTTTTGGTGGCCATACACAGAACTTCAGATGAGTGTGTGGAAATATTTAGGTTGAAAAGCTAAGTGAAATATTTTTCATATGAACACCGAACTTTCTAAACTGCGATTAGTGGATTAAATGCAAACTTCGGTGTTGCCATTTTTGTTACATTTGTTCTTAATGTTGATCAGGTGTGTGATGGACTTTGTTGAAATTTTGTGCTGTTTTGTAAGGAAAGTCTTTTGGCATTTGTAATGTTCTTAAACTGTAATTTATAACTGAACTACTTAATCATTCTTGAGGATTTCCTTCCTGACTGTAAGAATCTTTTCATATGGTTGAGAAAGTGAAGAGATGATAAGGTTTAGGCCTATGATATTTAGCTGTCTTATTTTAGTGGAACAATTGTTCAAATGGAAGCCTGTAGATTTCCTCTGTTGTTTTGTGTGGAATCCGTGGATGGTTCCCCAAAGTAGATTTGTGCTGTGTAGTTATTGCTTCTGTTTGGTATTGTGTCTCTCCTATGTGTGTATCTTGTGAATTCAGACAGCTCTAGCTTATTAAATTGTGTAAAGCTTTCAAGGCATAGTTTAAAAACTAGTAACATTTATTACTACATATAATGGCTTTCTTGTGAATAAGTGCAATCAAATTTAAAATTGTAAACAGTTTTCATGGGATTAATCATTTAAAAATATAGAATAAGTACACTTCAGTTCAAACCATTTTAGTTTGAATATATGAAACAAAATTGTAAAGTAAATTTAGTTCGTGTGTGAGAGATTTGTGCTGCTGAGGTATGTGGAACTTTTCATCTTTGGAAAACCCTTATTAACCCTTCAAGGCCAAATCTTCAAACATTACCTGTGGTCAGGGGAAGGTCCAAACTGGATTGCTGTTGGATGGTTGGTGGTGGGGAGACAAAGCTTAATGTATGTGAACATTTTGAGCAAAATACCTGATTTCAGGCATCTTTATTTTGCAAGAGAATGTATATTGTGTTGTCTTTAAAAAATGAAGATGGTTTTATTTTTTGAAGACATCTTCCAGTGGGGTTGTTTAATGTGGATTAAAATTTTTACTTTTGGTTGGCTTATTGTGGTGTTGTCTTAATGTTATATAGTACCAATATTCAGTGCGCTTAAATGAGTTTGGTTTTATATTTTGTGCTGGTACCTTATGGGATTTAATTATTTAATAGTTGATATACTTTACTGTTGGAGATGAATTGTTTGGGGATACTTTTTGAAGTTAGCTTCCAATGAAAATAAGATGATTTATTAAATGTATACATGTTTACAGTTACCCTCAGCGTCAGAGCTTTCAATAGCTTGGTTCCTATTGGAATCATAATTTAATCAACTATAAATTATATTTTGAATGGGTTAAATAATTGGTTATCAATTAATGTATCTTATGTTTTTACCTTTTGTAGGACTTTCTTCAATCAGTATTGAATATGTAGTTTAAAATTTAATTAAACATACTACTTATTAAAATATAGTACTTGGCACATAGTAACCTCAATAAACAGTTGATTATTGCAAGTAAGTAGAAATTGCTCCTCTTGAAGGAAGGTGCACTACTTGTGTTCACTAATTTTAGCATTTCACTTGACAAAAATATTTGGATTTGAAGTTACTGAATTTTAAAACTTACATGAAATGCAGTTGCTAAATACGTTGTATGAAAACATAAATTTAAATCCTTAATGTTGTGTGTTATGTTGAGTAGATTTTTTTAAGAACGAAATACAGATTATATTCAATGACCAGGTCAAAAGTATTTTAAGTAAATATTTTCAAATTGCTTTATATTGCCACATAAATCAAATTTTTACTTTTAGTATTTGAACTATTGTGTTATGTATATACACACACACACACACACACATATGAAATAGTCTCTCCATTCACTATGCCTTCGGTGAGGCTTTTTCTCCCCTACCATTTGGTTTTATTCTTTTAGGGGAAAAAACAATCCTCTTAACTACTATAATGATTCCCTAAAGTATGCCCTATCTTGGATTGTAAGATTATGCCTTTTAGATAGCTGGTGAACTCTGGGCCACTAGAGTCAGTTTTGCAGCTGTAATTTATAGCCCAGGGCTCAGGCTTTGCTAAATTGACTAGTTATGACTGTATAACTAACCTGTAGACATAAATATCTGTAGACAGTATGTCGGTACATACTAAATGGTGTATTTGCCCAAGTCCTTTAAAGTTCGGATTTTATTTAATGGATACATTTGTATTATGAGTAAACATCTCACATAGAGACTTGAAACCTAAAAATTCAGTTGGAGAGGTGTGCTATTTTAGTATAAAATGTCTGAGAAGTCCTTAAACATTTCAAGCATGAGGGAGAATAATAAAAATTCTCTTTTATGTTACTTTATTACATTTTGACTGTTATTTTTCTATTACCCGAAGATGTAAACCTAATTAAGTCAGTGCTTTTTATTTTTCTGGGAAAATTGTATTCCGTAATCAGGTATAGTTGGTTTTAAAGTTTTACAGCTGAATTGTGCTTTTTTGAAGGTGATTTAAAAAAAATTTAGTGCGTTTGTCTAAGAAGTTAAATTTTCTCAGCCTTCTTTTCCTCATTTATTAAAGGGAACTAATACGTGGCTTGCCTGCCTCATAGTGTTCTAAAGTTTAATTGAGATGAGAGTTTTCTGCATGTGATATATAATGATATTATTAGAATTGCCCATTTAGTCTTTTTTGATAGCTCACCTTTTTTGTTTTTTTTTTTTACTAACATTGCCTGTATTTTAAATATAGTTTTAAGCCATTAGACAATAATAAAAATGCATGCTTCTGAAAAATGAGAATGGGGAGGTTTATGGAGTAAAAAGCAAAAAAGATCTTTGTCGTGATCTCTTCTGATCCTGCTCTTTTGCACAGAGATGCTCCAAGTTAGCACTTTGTGTGTATACTTCCAGATAGTTTATGTGAATTTACATTGTTGTATTTTTCTGGTTTTGCAGTATCTTCTAGAATTGGTGGTAATGATAGTGAGATGTCAGTTTAGAAGTCCCAGGTGCTAACCTTGGTGTTAGAACAAAAAGAGCCTTTTCTTTTAACAATAGAGTCTTATATACCTCATCCAAGTTCAGCATGTTTTAAATGGTTGTTTGGGTATAAGAAATGGATTCAACAGAAGTCATTCTTTACAAAAGCCCGTATTATCTTATGTGCTGAAAAATATCCTTCCTTTTAATGTCTTCCATTCATTTGATGTTACTAAATGGCATTGAGGATAGAAATGTAACTTAAACATAAGAATCATGTTTAATCACCATTGCAGTGTGTGTACCTTTACGTGTATAAAGGAAATGTTGAAAAATAGAACAAGGAGACTGGAGTGTCAACACAATGAAAATAGCACCCAAACTAGGGTCAGGCTCCTAGAAATTAGATCATCACTTGGGACCCGAGTGGGTTAGAAGGAAGGAAACCTGTCCAGAAGTGAATTGCTTTCCAAATGAGTAGGAACTCCTGTGGCTATTGTGTTTACTAAAAGACAGTATCTGGATTGTAAAACTATACTACTGTTGTTCCTCAAAAAGCTAAACAGAATTACCATATGACCCAGCAGTTCTCCTGCTACGTACATACCCAGGATATTGAAAACAGACTTAGATACTTGTATGTCAATGTTCATAGCAGCAGCATTCATAATAAATAGCCAAAAAATTGGAAACCCCCCAAGTGTCCATCAACAGATGAGTGGATAAACAAAATGTATATACATACAATGGAATATCCAGCCATAAAAAGGAATGAAGTTCCGATGCATGGCTACAACATGGATGAACCTTAAAAATGTTATACTAAGTGAAATAAGCTAGATGCAAAATGACAAATATTATATAATTCCACTTACATAAAATGCCTAGAATAGGCAAACTTGTAAGGACAGAAAGTATTAATAAATTCGAGGTTTCTGGGTACTCATGGGAGGGGAGAATGGGGAGTTATTTCTTAATAAGTACATAGTTTCTGTTTGGGGTGGTGAAAATTTTGGAAATAGTGGGGTAATTGTTTCATAACGTGAATGTGATTAATGCCACTGAATTGTACACTTAAAAATGGCTAAAATGGCAAATTTTATGTTATATATATT